AAGATGAAGGAGACGGTGGAAGGGGATGAAGGAGACGGTGGAAGGGATTGAGGGTAAAGTGGTAAGAAATTCCTTGTTCTAGTTAGTTCCAGGGGTAGAGGTAGGACTCCCGTGTTCCACTTTTGTTCTAGTTAGTTCTAGTTAGTCCCACATAAAGCCATACCAAACATAGGACAATTGTGTTCTGTTCTGTCCTGTTCCACCCTGTTCCACGTACCAAACACACCCTAAGAGATATTTGCATGAGGCTTTCTATTAAGGCTAAAAATTACAAAGATAACTATGTACTCCATTTTGTATGTGGTAATAATGTATATGTATGGTTAGTCAAGTTGCCAGAACATGATGCAACAAGTTCAATGTTCAAAGAAGAAGAACAAGAACCAATCGGCAAATTTGGGTTCATCTGGTTGAGTTGGGCTACATTCAAATGATCCTAAACAAATTCCAACACAATACCTATAACCTGAAGATTTTACAAGTCGATTAGGTATCAAGTGGCTCCGGGTTGGGTTGGGTTGTCTGGGTTGGTCCAGTTAGTAAGGTTTTGTGCACCACTAGCTTGATGCCTACTGAAATATATAAAGTTGCATCATAAACATGACGTGCCTGATGTATATTGAAATATACAATCAATTTCATCACAATACTTAACACCTATTGAACTTGTGAGTCGTGAAGGCAAAAGCGTAAACTCTGTAAAGGCATAAAGCCAATACCTAAAATAATGAGACCCGAGTCATGAAGGAAGAAGCGTAAACTTTGTTTGGATTAAGAGAGCGAGGGTTGAGATTTGAGAACGTGAACCCTAATTCTAGTGGACTTGATTTGGTGAGGAATAGTTTGAACCACATTTTCGTAATTCAAAACTGCAAACTGAATCGCATAGTGTGGTTTGACAAAAACACAAACCATAACCACACCACGAAAATTCTTAATTCGACATTGTTATATGATATTGCCACACCCCGCTAAAGCGGAAACATGAGATGTAACAGGTAAACGAGTCAAAGCAACAGTTAATAAGTAATACCTTTCAAATTTTACAAAATAAAACAAGTTTAACATCAATAACCAAAATGGAATAGTGTACTTCTTTTACAAAAACTTCAAACGCGAACTTAATCGGTCTTGCCGCAAATGTGCTCCAAAAAACTTTATTTCTTACTTAAACCCTGAAAAGCATGAAACATAAAACAAGGTCAACTACAAAGAGTTGGTGAGTTCACGGGTTTTCATATGCACAAAACATTACAATGCATAAATCATTAATTTGCAAACATATACATAAACTTTTGCACTTAATAAATGTAAATCTACCACGATGCTTAACTTGAGATGCTACTGAGCCTTACCTGACCAACGTGCCCCATTATTTTACGAACAAACATAAGTAGCCCGTACACTTACTTAGGTCCCACAGTTCGTAGTAGTACTAATTCAGCGGTGGTCCAAATTCCACATGATTAAACCAAGAAAACATAGGTAATGTGCACCCCTTTCTGGGTGGGACTGTCAACACAATAACGGCTATCTACAATACCACGGCCCGGGGACGTGCCCGAGTTAACAAGTAGCGTTTACGGATGGAGACTTTATTTGGAAACATACTCCCAAGCACATCAATTTAGCATTTATTTCATAGTGCAAAAACAGTCAATATTTCATGACATAATAAACTTGACTAAACAGTTCTTTAGTCTGATGCTTTCAACAAAGCTTGACTAAACAGTTCTTTAGTCCAATGGTTAAATAAATAAACAGTATAGTTTGCTTAATCTCATGCTTTTCCCCCAGTTAAATAACAAAAAGCATTAAAAAGTGGGGCCGTGAGAACTCACAGGTTTGATGATGAATATCCAAGAAGATGACGTCATAAGCTCTCAACGTCCGCCCTACCTTCCTAAACAGACCAACATCCAGTATTCAGTTCGCGTTTGATATCCAGTTCAACGTCCGCCCTACCTTCCTAATGCCATCGGATTTTCATGAAATAAAGTTGATATTTTATTATTTATTCTAAAAATAGCGCAAAAATTATATATATTAAAAGAAATCAAAATCCTTTACTCAAAAGCTGATTTTTGGACAGATTATAAATTCTGTTCCAGGTATATTTTGGGTTTCACAAATCACTATAAATAGGAACCTTTCAAAAGTTATTTTATGTCCAACTTTTACATCATTCAAAATAATGAGATCAGCCGACTATTCCAAATATCAAGAAATTTGAGTGGGTTTAAGTTATTCATTATTACCCTACAATCTTGAATTACACAGCCCCCAAAACAGATTGCATACTCTTTGAGTGACAGCCATTTATTCATCATTTTCCAAATATTTTAACCCTATTTTTAAACTACCAAAAACGGTTAGCCTTCAGAAAATATTTTCGGATTTCATTAAATTTTGAAGATGCACAAATTAATTTGGGATGCATGCAAGATTCTTCCATACTTCAAAACATATTTTTAAATGATCGGACTTCGAATGCAAAGGGGCTTTCTCCTACTTTCTTAAARATCAAAGAACATGGATCATGGATTATCATCCTTTTTGAAGACATTCTCATGTCTTTGATGAATAATCTCCCCTCTTTAACTCTCCAGAATTTTAACTAAAAGGCTAAGAAGTAGGAATAGGAGGATGAAAACTTTTGTTATTTTACAAGAGTAAGATAACTATGATCATACATTTGTCTTAAAATCTTGAATATTCTTCAAAGATTGACAGAATTTTCCTTAAGACTTGCTTGAAGAAATCGGCTGGAGGGTGGTTTGTTTTAGAGAGAGATTAGAGAGATGAAAAGCTTAGGCTGAGAGAGTTTGGAAATGAGAGTTTTTCAAAAGATGTGGGGTATTTATATGAGGATTTTAAAGAAGGAAATAGGTTGGCCTCTAAAGGCCCAAACCCAAATAAAACTTTTATTTTTCTTAATATGAATAAACCCACTATATAATTTACCCAAACATAAATAAAATGACACTATTAATTCCAAAACTCCACCTTTTGATAAATTATGTGGACATTCAAATGGGACTTTTGTATTTTAATTTAAAAGTTTATAATATCAACTTTATTTTATTTGGAGCATTACTAAAATATTTGGCATTACACAAGTTAACTTTATCGGTTACCCACCGAGACGTGATTTTCCGAACTAAACTTAGGAACTAAGTCAGATGAACTCTAACCACCATGACTAGATCCTAGTCAATTTATAATTCTAAATATAGGATCTATAATAAGGTGCTAACCTAAGGCTCAGAAATGACGGGATGTCACAGTCTCC